GTTGAGGGTTCAGCCTCCTGATGAGTCGGTGAAACTCCGACGAAACAGTTTGCCACAGCCCCTCATTTGTTGTCCTCTTCTCCCTCTCTGCCTACGGTTTACCGGGCAGCTCTGTTTGACTATATATATATCCTGATGAGTCGGTGAAACTCCGACGAAACAGTTTGTCACAGCCCCTCGTTTGTTGTCCTCTTCTCCCTCTCTGCCTACGGTTTACCGGGCAGTTCTATTTGACGATATATATACATCTATCTATCATATAGAATAGAATATATATACAATATATATTCTATTCTATAGTCGGTGAAACTCCGACGAAACAGTTTGTCAGAGCCCCTCGTTTGTTGTCCTCTTCTCCCTCTCTGCCTACGGTTTACCGGGCAGTTCTATTTGACGATGAGTCGGTGAAACTCCGACGAAACAGTTTGTCACAGCCCCTCGTTTGTTGTCCTCTTCTCTCCCTCTCTGCCTACGGTTTACCGGGCAGTTCTATTTGTGACGATATATATATATATTACTTGTTTTCGGCCCTGGGGCACTCTGATTGCCTAGCTCTATGTGTTTTATTTGACTCCCAGGGCTAAGTCCCACTAGCGGGGGGTTAGTAGTCCTTTCGAGTATTTTTCCACGTGGGAACAGTAGGCCATGAGATGTTCAAATCTGACGGCACGAACCAGTGCATACTCCGAACCCGATCTAAACATGTACTAGTGGGACGTAGTCCCAGGAGTGAGTTCCATTTGCGTGTATAGGAGCAAAGTCTTGGGTGCCAAGCTTTTGTTTTCTTCTCTTAACTCTTAATGGCCACAGACGCTGTGCTACGCACCCAGCTTGTGCAATAGTGATCTTTTTTTTTTTTAACTTCCTTCTGGACGTTAGAGATGCTGATACGAGCAGACACCTCCAACACGATAGGGGGGGTGACCGAAAATGACAGTTCTTTTTTTAATCTCAGTTTGGACTCTGGAGCACTGCTAATTTGTTGTGTTTGACGCAGAATGTTTTTTCTGGAAATTTTGTTCTCGAAATCTTTTCGTATAGGCCCATGTGTGCTGACCGGCTTTTTCGGGCTAAGATTTGGGCCAGATGGGACTGCGACACTGCCGGGACCAGCGAAGTTCATGAGAATAAGGGGGATACGGGAAATTGTTAGCTTATATCCGGAGACGAAGGTGACCATTAATAGCTAGCAGGACATAATGATGTTACGATCCTGGTCATTCCCAAAGTGCAAATTCACAATGAAAGACCATGCCACCCAATTGCGAAAGAAATGAAAGCACTTGCAAAGAGATAGAGACCAGAGAAGAGAGAAAGAAGAAGAAGAAGAAGAAGTACACCAGCAAGACCAATGACAAATCCCCCTTCTCTCTCCACCTTCCTCCTCCTCCTTCACTTCGCCAATCGTATTCTTCTTCCAATAATAATAATAACAATGAGGGGATGAACCAGAAACAATGTCCGAAGTTCCCTCTTACTGCTGACATCACAATAGGTCCACCATAGCTATGGCTTCCCCCCCTTCTTCCACCTCTCACATGCCTAGGCTATGGCGGACTACTGAGGGCCGTACCCTCCTGTGAAAAGGACAACGCAAAGCTGCTATGTCGCTGCACTCCTGTCCAAAGGACAACCCAAAGCAGCTATGTCGCTGCTGACTAAGCCGCCATGCCTGACTCTGCCTCGAGCTTCCT